ATAATCCGCCCTCTCCCTGTCACACCGCGGTGGCCGTGGCTCCCGGGAACAGGGTTTAAATGTGTGTTCGCTGGGCGCTGATTGGCCCGTGCCGAGGGCAGGCAGCGCTCTGATTGGCTGCCTGGCAGGGACTGCCCCTCCCGCGGCCGGGCCGCGCCACGTGGGTGGGAGCGCGTGGGAGCGGGACCCTCCGGTGCTGCCCCCGCCCCGTCCGCTCTGCCGGTGCACCGGCACCTCCCGGCAACGCCGCCTCCCTCCTGCACCTCTCCGCAGGGCACACGGCCCCCGCTGCCATGCAGCGGGGACTGGGGACTCCTAATCCTGGCGGGATTGTAAAGCTCTGCTGGGCGAAATTATTAGGCTACTTTACGCAATATTTAGCTTAGATCTCCCTGGTTGAAATTTATGTGTATTAGTTCCATCTTCCAAGCTTGCCTGGAGAGAAGATAATACTCAAGCATTGCACTAAAGCATCAAAGACCTTGCGTAAATCCCCATTCTATAACGAGGGCAGCTAAAATATTACAAAGCCAAATGACAGAGCCGTCATTATCACCAGGAGAGCTGGAGCTGCCTTCAACATCCATTCCCTGGTCAGAAGCTGCCAACAGGACTAGTACATACCCTTTGAAATCAGGAAAGTACAGTGGCAAAGAGTAACACAGCAATGAGACAAGAGCACACAGGGATCAGGATCTGGATGGATGCCAAGTTGATTCCATCATGGAAGTCAGGAAATTGCCACACAGGACTTTGGTGCTCCATGATAAGCAAAACACTTACATTGAGCAACAGCGCTTGACTCTTGTTTCTTATCTGTGTCACCCCTCCTGCAGCAAGGCCTACCTGAGTGTGCTCAGGACATGGGGTGGTGGCACTTGAGCTGACCCAAGCGCTATCGCCACGGGGGTGGCTTCCCAACCAAGGCTTATCTGTAGCCACAGGCTGCTGCTTGTCTCTTGGGCATTCCCATAGTGATATAAACAGCCGGTTTGGTGATACAGCTGAAAATCATCCTTTCCCTTTAGAACAGGAAAAAAAAAACCTTCTCATCTTAAACAAGAACTTGGGGCCTTGTCCTTTCCAAGCTGTCCCAGAGCAGCTGGGGGCTCACAGGACAGGAATTCAGTGTGACTGCAGAGGAGTCTCAGAAGACATCACAGTGTTCCAGTCCACCCCCTCCTCTTCTTGTTTTAACTCTGCATTCAGGCACTTTGGGAGAGAACAGAACAAACCCAGCTCTGCATGGGCACTGTCATTTGTTACGTCTGGGTCTTCGATCACCAGGCACATGAATTTTACAGACAGGCAACCAAAACGCACTGGGTATTTTCCTGTAAACTCCTAACTGCAGCCAGCTGATGTCCTCTGGGTATCATGTCCATGAACATCCATGTCCATGGTGTTCTTCCATCAAGGCAGGTACTCCAAGCTCTCTGCAAAAGCAGCAGAGCAGACACTGCTCTGATTTTTCCACCCCAGTTCGCACTGTACTTATCACACAGCTGGGATGAAACTGGGGGGAAAAAAAAATCTTCATAAATTACTAAGATGATTTCCTTCTTGCAATAATAGGGAACACTCCTCCTAATGTCTTGGGAAAGCTCTGGAAACGCCCTCAACTGTGGTTTTGCTCAGCTGTTGGGGGTTGTATATTTTAAATAATTATTTTGTATATGTATATTAAACAAAGCAACCGAGTTGGCATCGAAGCCGTACGGGCCACCAGTAGAGGGCAAAGGAAGCCAAGCAATTCTCTTCCCCAGAGCAACAAAGAAAGCAACGTCATCTCTAACTGGCCGCTGCTCCCGGCGCGGTGGGATCACACCGTGAATTAGCAAAACATGTTGGCTTTACCCCTTAGCTGGCGGCGACCGAAAGCCAGAGATGAAGTTCAAATGTTAAGGGCTCCAGCCCAAAAGAGTGAGGCTGGAGCCACCCGTCTCTGTGACTCAGGACACAGGGAAAGGGAGCGCTGCCGACTCCCGTAATCCAGAGGGAGCAGCGCGACTCCCGCTAGAACCAGCGCTAAAACCCAGTGACCTAAATATTCTCTCCCGTAGTGCCGCATGAGCAGCTCCCGGGAGCACCACGTTTTACTGCGGAAATGTGAAATTGTTTTGTGGGGGAAGGGATGGAAGAACGAGCGAGGCGTTGATTTGCTCAGAAAGAGAAGAAATTCTTCAAGGTAAATCACTTCGGTCTAGACGAACGCTTCATCCAGTTTAAAACAAATCTTATTTTATCTTTGAATTCATGGTTTCATTTTCTGTCGAATATACCAAGGAGATGCTTGTTAAATATTTCCACCTGAGAGCAAGTTCTCACACAGCACCTGTCATATTTGCAATTTGCAAAATATATGACAGCATTTACACAAATTTCTCGTTCACAAGATGAAATCCCTACAATTTGTGCTTCAGCCACTAGAAATCAAGCAAAAACAATCCCTGGGGGTAAATGCTGAGTATTACATTAAGCAATATCATTTTATGAAGTCAAAGAATAAAATGCCAGTAGGTGCTAACTGTATTTCATGGATTATAAAATATAATTACATTCAGAATTGTATCTGCCAATGATTAAAAAAAAATAATAAAATAAAAAATCTCTGACTAGAAAGTGCAGCGAGACCCGTACATTACATGCAAAATTCTATGGAAACAGAGTCCTGCAGACAAATGTGTGTGTGTTAATTCCACGCCAATGGAAAGCAGCATTTCCACCAGTGGGATTACTCACCTATTCCAGTCGAGGATGATCACAAACGCTGACAGGTAACTCCCTTTTCAACTCAAGATATCGAAACCCTCCCTTTCTTGTCACGATTGTATAAAGGTGCTGAGATTTAAAGTTCGATTTAGCACGTGTGAGCTGTACTTCATTATGCCTTCATTTGAAGTGTGCAGAGGGCAATAATCAAGACAAAAGCTGTCATTTAAATTGCTCTTCTGGTCTCTGGCCACATTTCTGTCGTCTTTTTCTCCATCTGAAGCATCACTGATTAATCTGAATTACTCAAGTCAGTTTAATTAACGTTGCTTTGTCTTTAAATAGTTTAGCCTTAATCTGTCTAATCCTTTACTGGTTATAATAATCCCTGTTAAATTTGCCTAATGGTAAAATAAGCAAACTTGCTCAAGATAGAATGAGTAGTACTGAACATTTGAAGGAATTTCATGATTGCTCACACTTCATCTATGTCTGACTCAATTCTGTGTGAAAGTTCTTAAAAATTTTCATGTTCTTACACAACTGGAAAAGCATTTTATTGGAAGATTGTCTCTTTTAATACGTCTTCTGTCTGGGGGCCTCCAGCGCTAAAAAGATGTCTCCAAATGTGAAACTAGTGGTCTCCAGATTTTCACTCACTTTTTGCAGCAGCAAGTTTCACATTAGCAGCTTGTAAAACACTAGCAAATGAAAACTCATCTGCCGGGCACATCCCCAGGGCGGCATTCCCAGGGAGGGCAGCAGGGATGTTTCCCCCGCATTCTCCTGGGGGAGTTCCTGTGCAGGAACACCGCAGAGTCCCGGCGCTGTGAGGGGGCGGAGGTGGCGGCGTCCTCAGGGCGCGGTGGCACCGGCCGCACCGGGGTGCTCGGCGCCGCCAACCGTGGAGGGACGGGACGGGCCCAGGGGGCCACCTGAAGTGAGACGTATTCACGCACATCACGGGCGGGGATGAGCTGGGATATCACCGTTTCCCCTCACGCCGACAGCCCCC